TAGGATAAGGTTAGACATAGAATCAAAACTAGAAGATACAAGAACCATAATATGGAAGTATTGAAAAAAATCAAGAAACAAATATTGTGCTCTCAATTGATAAAGTTTTTAAAGAGTATCTAGCTGATCGTACAGAAGTAATAGTAATAGTATAATCTTAAATATCGACTCTATAGTGAATTACTATTTTCTCTTTTTCATCAAATTCTTTTAAAATATAAATAAAATTCTCTTTCCTATTAATCCTTGTATGATTATTATTTTCAATTATTTCTTTTAGTAATAGATAATTTTTTAAGAAGATTAATATATGAATACATATCCCTCTATTGGATTAATAAAGAAAAATTAGATTCAATATATATATCAATTCTCATTTAAATTTTTTTATTATTTTAATAGTTCTCTTATTAGGTTTTTATCTGAAGATGGCTTAATTATGAGGTGATTTTTTAACCTATTATTGGTTTATAAATTCATTATTATTTTTTTCTAATTAAATATACATATATAATAAAACTTTGCTAATAAACTCAGCCAAGTCAGCTTATAATAAAAAAAAATTAATAAAATAGTAATATTGAAAGTAGCTAAGAAGTAAATAATATACTTTTGATTAAAAAATTTTTTAAAGAATAATCAATTTATAGTATTAAAGTAATATAATAATATTAGAATTTTAAGTTTCTTATAAATTTTAGAGTTATTTGTTAATGTTAATTTCTTGTAATTATATTTTACAAATACTTAAAAGTTTAATAAAATATAGTTGAATTATTATTACAAAAAAACTAAAAATTTATGAAATTAATTTAAAATATATAATTTGAATCTATAAAAATTTGATTTTATATAATATTTTTTAAATTTTATTCTTTTTAATCTAATTTTATAATATATTTTATTTATTATTATTATTTTTTAAATTCATGTTTAAATTTTATTGTATGTTTATTAATTATTAAGAAAATTGATAGAAATGTATAGAGTAATTGTACTATTATTAAACCAAATTATATATTGACTTACTTATTAACAGTTTTTAATTATTAAATGTGTTTTAATCTTTAAGTATAACCTTGATAACAATATTTTATTTTATAATAGATTTTGATTAAATATTTTTTAATTTATATATTATTATCAATAGATTATTGTTACTTATTATTCTTTAAGGAATTAATTTTGAAAAACTTCAACAGGAAAAGAAAAAAATAAAAGAAAGAAAATATTTAAAAATATACAAATATATATAAATGAAAAAGAAAATAAAAAATAAAAAATAAAACTGATTCTTATTCTCTTAAGAATTTTTATTAGAAACTTCTTTTTATTAGAAACTAATTCTTTTAAAATATTCTTCTTCTTTTAACTTACCTGAGAAATTTATTTATTTATAATTTTGATTATTTTCTTATAATTGTTAGATATACTTATTGTTTATTCAGATTCAATATTCTATTTGATACTTTTTTTCTTTAATATTGATTTTATATTCACTTGTAATATAAGATAATGACTTATAATAGATCCTTGATTCTTATATAGCTTTTTAGTTTTACTATACAACTCCTGATATCTTTCAACAATCCAATATATTGTATTTATTTAAATAATTTTGATGCAAATATATATATATATATATATTTAATAATTTTATAAAGTAAAATTTTTTTTATTATTTTAATTATTTTATTTTTATAATTTTTTTAAAATCAATTATTTATAAAATTTTTATTTTTGAAATTTTATAAAATTGTAATATTAAATAAACTTATTTATTATGTTAATAAAAATATATATTTGCTAATTTGCAATCATATCATAATAGTATATTTTTATTAAAAAATTAAAACAAAATCTATAATAGGTACAGATTTTTATAAAGTAATTAACAACTTGTTTTTATATATAAATTCTTTAATTCAGATTTTAAAAACAATATTATATTTCTTTGATAAATTAGTTATGATATTTATTTATTAGAATCATTATTAATAGTTTATCATTGTTGATTAATTTGAAATCAATAAATTGTTAAGTTAGGAGAAAAGATAAAAAATAATTGAGAGAAGAGGACAATTCAAGGTTTATCAAAAAAGTTCAAAAATAAAAAAATATATATATATATTATATATAAAGCTTATAATATCTAATTAGTAAATTTTTTATTTATAAATAAAATAATAAAATAAGTTTTTTCAAAAACAAACATTTTATATTAACTAATTTATTGTTAAATTTATTGTCACAATATATAAAATTTTTAACAATTTATTATTAAATTTGATATATCATTTTTTTTTTTATACTAAATTCTTTGTCAAAATAATGTTGATGGTTTATATGTCAAGTGATAATAATTGCAAGAAATTTATTAGTACATTTTATCAAATCTGATGATATATTAACTATCAAATAACTCAATTTCAACTTAGTGTATCTATTCTTGATAATTATATTATGATCACTGTTAAATACAGTAAATATAGTAAGTGAGGATTTTTTTTTTTTAAACATATACAATATATATATATTTATTTATTTAAAAATAAATCTTTTTCAAGTATTTATTTATGTTTGTTATTTAAAAATTCATTAGCAAGAAATAAAATGATTCGATTTTTCTTTACATAAATTAATGGATTCGATGTAATTTTTGGTCTTTTAAAATACTAATTAATCGATTCACAGTATTATTCATCATTACTATTATTATTTACTGTATGCTGTAAATAAGCTAAGTTTATTATGTAACCTAGATATAGTGAATGAATTTTGAAATTTAATTGTTTCTAAGAGTTTTATATAGAAATGTTGAATGTTCATATTATGTTAATTAGGTGGTATCATCATATTATTTGATAATTGCATAATACAATATCAAATATTTTTAGTTCAACAATCCACTGCATTTGGTGCTGAGATATCGACATGACCGTCTACCTTTTAATGGAACAATACTGAAAGTGGCCTGATGTGCGATGTTGTGGTCACAACCAATTGTGACAACCAAGTAGAAATTGCGGCGGCAACCAATTCCAGGAATATGGTGACGGTTGTAAGTTGCGATCGATTGAAATATTTCGGGATTGAAGTTAGCCGTTAGCATTGTCTTTCCGTTAATCCACCCTCCTACCCAAATGTCTCGAAGAGAATTCTTCCGACTTAATATTATACTGTAGCTTAATTTGGAATTGAACAGGGCGAGTTTGCTAAATCCACAATCGACTTTTATCCCACTTGGAATAGGTATGACCGTATGTTGCTTGATGTCGCACTGATCCATTTGAGTGAATAAAAATGTCTATTTTCAATAATTTGCCCCTATTTTTTACTTGCAGTAGTATAATGTGAATGCTTGGATTGTCATCTTTATTGCTGGCTAAACGTACATCAAACACTTCTTATCTTCCCTTTTAAAACATTCGATTTCTTCGCGCTGCTACACCAGTATCTTCGTTCGCACCACATTAACTTCACAAACTGTATTGTAAACAATGCAACGGGTGTCTTTAACAATCTTACGCCACTCTCGCGACCTTCATTATATGCACGTCATGTCAGAAAGTGTGCCTGATCGCTGTAGTCAATTCAATCCTTACCTCATGTTTTCATCATTTGCTCGAGTGACAAGATCCGCCCAAACAATATTGCGCATGATTATTGTACGCATACGGGAAATTCAAAACATCAACAACACCTTGTTTAGCCACGTTTTAGTACGAAACAATAAACAATTAGGTTTACGAAAATCACGATCCGAGCAAAATTTACACCCGTTCTATTTTTAACCCTCCCTTATCAGCCATAAACATGGTCACAATATCTTGGAAGTTATCTGATTTCTTGGGGTCTGGCATTGTCCGTTCTTGGAAGAGAATGCGAGTCTGTTGATAACAGTGGACGATGGCGACTGGGTTTAATGTAATAATGAGAAGGAAATGAGACACAGAATAAAACGATTACGCAAAAATATAGAAACGAGGAGTTGTAGAGTAATCAAGGTGAAATGTGGTAGAATGTCAACAATAATATGTGCGCTTTACCCGCGAGGCGCAAATTTTCATCTCACGTCCCCTCTCGTCACATTTTTTAATTTCTCAAGGTGCAATTATGACAGCTTCGTTTCGAAACTTTCGAGAGACAATCAGATGTGCAATGTGAACGGCGGGAGTACAAATCTATGTGCGCCGCTCCAGCTATTCGCTCTTTCTAATTTAAGAAATCTTGAATCCTCGGTAAAAGATTCGTACGCTCTTATGGCGAGTTGATGTCATATTCTTTTGTTGTTTATTAACGTGTATCAAGCCGTTAAAACAGGAGATTGTGTTACCAAAATTAGAAGTATAAAGAAAAGGACAATATAATCCTAAACGGTAGATTGTATGCAGGTCATTATGATAACAATGCCTGGTGTTGATTGTCGTCAGTGAAATAATAGAGAATACCTGGAACGTGGTGTTTCTGATTAAAGTGTATGCCTGAATGTAATCACGAGAGGATACGAGAAACGTGGCAAGATGAAAAAGAGATAGATAGATTTTTGATCCACGTATGATTAACAAAAGGTTTGTGCGCGAACACTGTCTCAAAAAATGTGGAGAAATTATCTTTGTGAAATGTACGATGAGCGACACACCATCAAATTCTAATGACTTACCCCACAAGGTAATACAAAAAAATCCCAAACTGGTTAGGGAATGGGTATTCAACTTCTTTTAATATTCGGAGGACAGGCACAATATATTCAGGGGTCTAATTACAAAGATATCATCTTCGCGGAGTGCGACCTTTTTCTTTATGGTAAAGAAAGAAACCAAGGTTGAGAATATGTGCACACAGTGTGTCGATTCTGCAGATCGTTTGGTGACTTTTTGCACGGACCGACGTCAAGATGAATATGATGTGGTGGTGTGCTTGTGAGATTCGGTTAGCCTAAAAAAGTTTTACGATAATGAGGTTGTGAATGGTAATAATGCGTGTGGATTGTATTGACTATGAGGTGTAAGAACGAGAGACAATTAGATTGTTGGTTATTGTCCAAAGAAATAGATCACGAATATCAGGCGCGTGAAAAGGTCGACCGGGAAGATTCTCATGAGCAAAAAGTGTGGTTAATGCTTATCAACAATCAACTCAACAATCAATCAATCATCCTGTCCGCCATCCGGAGTGAAAATAAGGATTACGTATGAGATTCGGGGCGTACATTTAGAACATAGCATAGTTTCAGGAATGGTAAGTTTAATTTATAGCATGCATCAATCAAATATGATCATATGAATTTAATATATTTCCTGTTTTCATGTTAGTGGCTAAAGAGATAAGAAATGGAAATGTCACGCCTCGTGAGTCTAGGTGACGACCGGCGACGGAGACGACAAATGGAGGTTAGGTTTTCCACCTCATTGCTTTGAAAATAGAAATACGATCATCGTCATAATTTTAAGAGTTAGTTGTTCCACCATAATATTTAGATATTCACGGTTGATCAACCATCCGTCATACAAAATCTTTAATTCAAAACTTGTTTAAAACTTGGTTTTAAAACTTTAAAGAATCGGAGCGTTAGGAAAAAAAAAAAAAAAAAATGAAAAATGAAAAAAAAAAAAAAAAAAAAAAGCTTGTTCCATGTTATTTCGATTCCTTTGCCGAATTGAAGCTAAATTGTGAATTAGGTTCTAGCTGAAATTAAACAACACCATCGGGTGTTTGTAAATATTTGAAACATGCAACTCTGGCAATCAGGATGTAAAAATTCACCGCCGCAAATTGTTATTTGGCACACATTCTTACGGAATGACAATAAGCATAAATCGGGAAGGTTATACTGCATCCTCGATGTTACACCATTGTTCCATCCCGAAATTCTGGTACACTAACTTGATTTCGTGGAGTTTACCGGTGTGTTCTAAAGGAACTTCCTAAACAAGGGAATTCTTGAACATTTCACAATGTAAAGTTCGTCTCTCCAAATCCGCCCTCTCGTGAAGTGAAGGTGGTTACGCACGACAAAGCAAGATAGCCATTATTACCTGATACGCATGTAACGTCAATCACACATAAATTTTTAATTTGAGAACACAATAAAGATTCAAACTTCCTTGTTCGAGGGATTCCTTGTCGTTGTTTTCAATCGATTGCGTCCTGTTTGAAAAAAGGTGAATTGTCCGATTTCTTGAGAAACAATTTTCTGATGGTTTTAGGCGTTTGATGTACATACCTCTCTCTCTGTGCGCATCCTCAGAGATGAGGAGTTCTCGTGTCGATTCTTTTGGAGAAAGATCACCGTGCCGTGTACACAAAAAATGCCTACTTCAAAATCATCCATCCAATCCATTTAAACATTACATTATATTAAAACTTTATATCGTTTATAATTTAAACTTAAAAATCAAATCCAGCTACCTTATTGACAAATGCTAGCGCACATATGATTACACCGTTGTCGTCACCACTGAAATTATTTAATTATCGTTCGCTCGTGTCCTCCCCGTGCACACAAACGGCAATGTACTGTGTATACGTACATCCTGATGCACGATTTATGCTTCGAAACTCATGAAAACATTTGGAGAGGGGGGCGGAGTCATCCCGAGGGTTTTAGGCCGTCGCCGTTTGCACATACAATGCTCGAAGGTCTATGCAACTTGTGATGAATAAACGCTATTGTTGAGTTCCACAATATAGTTGATGATCAGGGAGGCATCTCATTGTACCACCTCGAGCATTACTTACGCACACACAAAAATTCGAATTCATATAACATCCCATTTTCACTATTCCTCACCACCAAATTTCAAGGCCTGCCGAATGAATGCCTATTGTACTCGGATTATAGGTGGGTAGGTGAGGCGAGAAAACCTAGAGAAAAATTAAAACCGTGTGACAAACCTGTAACGAAGATTATATATAAGCTGTCAGAATTATTATTATTGTTTTACATGAAAACTAAAATATGTGCAAGCCACATAAAAACAATAAAAAACCTGATGATTTAAGCAAGACACCATCATATCGTCATATATAAATGCTATTATTGTTGTTTGATGCATATTAAAACAGTTTAAATATATTAAACTTTATATAATATAGATATCGATATTCATGCGATTATGTTTGAGTGCATATTAGCTAGCATACTGTGCAGACAAAGGGGTTATGCAAGGTTGACTATTCAAATGTATTCATGTATTCTTTAGCTTTTTTTTTTTTTTTTTTTTTTTTTTTTTTATATAGTGCATGGATAAATAATGTATTTGTTGATTCAGTAGTTGTGTATTTTAAATTTTATGTACAAAGGAACTTTTTTTTTTTTTTTCAAACATTATAAAACCAACAAATCAAATTTTGTCGCCTTTGTTAAAAAAATATTTATATAAACACCCAGAATTTGGCTTCAACAGATCACTACAAACTGATCAGTTTTCCACAGAAAAACAGTAATTTGTAGTGGTTATATAATCTTCTTCGTGAAACAATTTTATATAACTATAATTTTTCTTGCCCTTCATCGACTCGTAATACGCCTGCCTCTTCTGAAACAGAAAGACATTGCGACGAAATTCAATTTTCAAGCCTTTCCTTGACAGCCGAACGTCAACTGCTATTTTACATAATAGTAGTTAGTCTTGTCATCAAAAGAATCTTTATCCATTTTCTCAGCCGACTGTAAAAGAGCCAATAATAGCTTCTTTCTCACACCAAAGGAACGAAAACAAATTTCTCCTCACAACAAGAATGCCCGCACCAAACGCCGCCGCTTTGAAACCGACCTTGTCCAACAATGCTACTAACAAGACAAGGGAATATGAGGTTCTCGTCATCCCGCCTGCTTCCCCAACCAGCGACACCTACACCGCCACGCAACAACCTTTGAGAACAAGGACCAAGCGTATCAATTGCAATTCCACGAATGGGACTTTCTATTGGATTCCCGAAGGATACCGTGCGGTTTTGGTGAGGACTGCGGATTTACCTTTGCTCGTGGGCTCCGAATATCCGTTGCCGTCTCCCACCTATTCCTCGGATTCCGAAGATTCCAGTTGTTAATTGGAATTCGTGAACTTTTATCAACAAGAACAAAAAATTTGTTGGAGCGGTTGGAGCGAAGAGTTTTATATCGTTCATTCTTTTTTTCGTATGAAGACATGATATTTATGTACACACTTGGACCCTCTTTGATAGAGATTCTTTTTTTTTTCACACCATTACGCATTCATCTCCCCGTCCACCATCATCCTCGTAAATTGTATCAATATTTTCAATTTTCCAAATTTTTTTTTTTCTCCTCTTTTTTTTTTTTCTTTTGCTGTCATACTCGTCAATCACGTTGGCAAGACATGTATGAAGTTAAAAAAAATCTTAGCCTTCTTTCAGTTGGCCGGGAGGCCTCCTTTTCAGAGGTTTTTCCCGGTGCATAGATTGTAGATAGTATTTTCCTCCCCGTTTTTGAGAGAAAGATTTGCTCCTTTCTTTATAAAGACGCACCCTTGTAATCATATCTCCTTCCTTCCTTCCTTGATAAAGAAAAAAAAAAACCAAAAAACTCAAAAACTCAAAAAAAAAAAAAAAAACTCACTCTGATGAGCGTAGCATTAAACGCCTTCAAAAGAAAAGATATTTTGTTAGCTAGCAATGTTCCTAAAATACCGGTATTATTATTATTTTTTTTTTTTGGATGCATTTAGTGCACGCCATCATCCTTTGTAAAATTTATTCCTTCTCTTCTTTCCTAGATACAGTAGAATACTTTTTTTTTCTTTTTCCTTATAAATTTTTCTGTCAAAACGAAACAATCCTTGCCCTCAAAACTTAGTCAAACACACGACGTCCTTTTCCAAATCAATAACCACCAAAAAGAAACGACACCATCCCTCTATTTACAACATCACAAACATAAGAAAATTTTATGAACAAATTACGAAGAATGTCAAGCATTTCAAGCATTTCACAGAACAGATATGTGCAACCGAGTAATCCCTAACTTTTACTCTCTCAGCTATTTGTTCAAATTGCCTGGAAGGTTTTCACTAAAAATGTTTTTTGTCTATCAATGAAAATTCATTTCCCCCCCTAATTCGAGTGATGAATTACAATTAGACAAAATTCTTTTGTATGAATTACTTTTTTTTGACATTTTTTTCGATGCACATATATATATATTCTTTAAATCTCATCATATATATACATATAGTCTCTTATACCGTATATGATTTCGCCATTCTATTTATTTTATTTTTATTTTTTATTTTTTTTTTATTTTCATTTCATTTCATTTTTTTTTTTTTTTATTGCTTTTCTTTTTTTATATGCGTAATTATTTTTCGAAGTGGACCCGAAGTTTTTCGGATTTCGGAATCAACTTTGAGGTTATCTTGATTTCTGGTTCACAATTCCGGTGCCTTGGAAAACTTCCGTTCTATCCTCAAAAAACAATCACGTGTATATTGTAACATTAGCTGGTTTACTTTTTTCCTTTTACTTCTTTCTTCTTCTTCTTTTTTTTTTCTTTCTCCTCAATTAACATAGTTCGATTATTGTCACCTGGTTATTTCGTGGGCCCACACAATTAGGAATGTATAGGAGTAGCTTTATTTATGTGCACTTATAAAAAATAACTGGCGACGATGATTTGAACTATAACGAGTTGTTGCATGTAATGCTTTTTTTTTTTTAACTGGTTATTGATTTGAAAATGTCGTGTGTTTAAAAAAAAAAGAGAATTTTTCAATAAAAAAAAAAAAAAAAAAACTGGGTAAGAAAGTTTTACTGTACATTAAAGAAACAAGAAAGGTGTGTCGTTTTGGGAATGTAAGAGCAAATTCGACGATTGTTTCGGGTTCTGAGACGCGTCGCGAGTTTTTTTTTTTTTTGTGCACGTATGACAAACCGTTTATTTTCTACAAATGACGTAAAAAAAAATACCGTGCCAAACTAGAAACGTCATTTTTCTCCACAAACTCATCCCTGCCTCGTCACTAAAAACTGTATCAAATGATCCTCCATCTCCTCGTGAACAAATATTACTCCACATCCTGATGACAGTCGCACCACAGGCAATGATTTCTCGCGATGAAGAGTCAACCGAGGCTTCCTTCCAGGCACCCAAAGTCTTGGTAATCGTGGAGCAACACCGGGCGCTGTCGTCTCTTAGTGATCTCGTTCTTTTTCTGCCTTGGAGCTCTATCCGGTTTTAATGGTGATTAGTATGGTAAGGCGGTGGCGTGATTCAAATAGGCAGTTTTCCTTAGATCAGAGATAACCCATTTATAGACAAATTTATTCCCAAATCTATCCAAGTTTGCTTGATCTAATTTTTTTTATGGCATTGATTGCATTGATTGGAGATTTTATGATACCGTTCGTTCATTGTTGTTTCGGGAAATTTTGTTCTTCCAAGTTCACCGATTGTCTCTCTTGAAAAATTAATGTCGAACTGATGCGCATTCCGGTTTTCCGATGACACTCACCGTTTCTCAACATCAACATCAACACCACCGCCGTCGTCATCGTTCGTAAAAATGCTGTCGATTCGTATGTGTGCTCCGTCATGAGTCCTTCAACTAATTAAATTAATGTTTATCAACAAGTGGTCAACTAGCTTTTGTTCTTTTTTTGTTTTTGTTTTTTTTTTTTTTTTCTCAAGCTTACGGAATATCAATATATTTTCATCGTACAATTCTATTAGTATATCAATAAAAAAAAAAAAAAAAAAAAAAAAAAAAAAAACCCAAAAAAAACAAGGATTAACATTTCTAGTTAAATCAAAATCATTAAATAAATAATTGGTGGGGCAATTTTTCAGACTATGCAAACAACATCCTGTGTACATGACGAAATCATTAGTGAATTTGGTATGAGTCGAAAGGGATTGCCAATTTGGAGAAAGCTTGTACTCATCACTCAAAGTTGAGAAATTTACGATCTTGAGTAAGCGTTGACAGTTCTTTCCTGTTGTGGAACTTGCGTTCGTTTCGATGTGTTACGTCGCCAAAGGAATTTATAATTCGCTCAGCTGCCTCATCCTCAAACTCCTCTTCTCTGTATGCGTGATCAGTCGGTTGTTTTTCGATTTAACTTAAAGTGCAAATATGAATATTCCGAAATTTTTTTCACGATTGAGCGTGAGGTTGCCGAGTGTTGTGCGCTCCAACGAATCGATCCCTTCATTGACATGTTTTTCGCGTAAATAAAAAGTTGCGATAAATAATTCTTCCATGCATGCGTTAGTGCGCATGCTGTGTGGCTTTGAATCCGTAATCGCCATTACAGCTTCTTTTAATACCAAAGTAAGTCGCCGGTAATTTCTAAATGCATGGTTCAGGTGTGAACACAGCATTGACGGTTTAACCGATTTTCGACTACTCATTGATGCACGACCTCGTGCAAAGAGAAGGAAGGTTTTCGTGGTTAACAAAAGGACATCAGCCCTTTCCGATCTAACTGCAATTAAGGTCGACATTCGGAATCTCTCGGATCACGTGCCACAGACATCCAGTGAAAATAAGTTAGGCTTCCGGTGGTGCAACATTCCCCGCGTCTTTTCTGAGCCCGGTAGCAAAGCTCTCGTTGTGGTTTTGAACTTGGTCCAGAGGTAAGGCCCATACCATAAGGGATTCTACAAAAAGGAAAAAAGGGGCATGGTGGCATGGTGGCATGTGCAGAGTTCGCGATGGACGAATTGCGAAATGGCAAATCACGTTTTTTTTAAGGCCTACAATCCAAATATTGTTCATGATCTAGGAAGTGATATGCTTTTTCGGCGAAAGACTTCTATGTTGAGTATGCAATGGCGCATTGACCATCTGAATTTAGGCTGTGCCACTTGACCGCAATCGTTTTCTTTTTTATCCGTTGATCAGCTCTTTCGTGGTGACCAAGCGTCCGAGGGACAAGGACATTCTCGTTGAATTTTGACTTTTAAAGTAAGAATTTAATTTTGTTGCAATCTGTGCATCGAGTGCTGTCGCATTCGTGCATATTCTCATTCTCGGACCTTCCATTTATCAATAATTCGCGCTTTTCCCTTAAACGTGTCAAGGTCTGGGTCAGTCTGGTCCATTTTCAAACTGCTCCTAGACAGCATTTACCGAATTTGCATCGTCTGTGTACCCTCGTCACGGTCCGTGACGTGCAAGCGGATTACCTTACGGCGAGACACAAAAATAACCGACATTTGGTATACTGTATCCATTTGTTTATTTATATTATTATGATGATGATTATTATTATGATTATTTTACAAAGAAGGGAAAAAAAAAAAGCTAGCCTCCATATGCCCTTGGGAAAGAGATGATATGTAAGGACGTGTGACTTGGGTCGCACTGTTAATCCTTTTTTCGGTCATCGTCATTGAACGTAGTAGAACAATGGGTTTTATGAGTTACACGGACCTAGTAGTAACGCATTGTCTATTAAGCCATCGCTGGTCTTACCGTCATATTCCTAATGGACACCTTTCACAAACTACTATCTTCCGGGATACACCTTATAAGGATGCTGGCATATGTTACGTTACGGTCATTGCCATTTCGAACTGCCGAATATGCAACACGAGAGATCATTCAGTTAGAAAATGTTCGATGCAATGGAAAAGTAAAAGGTGCAAATTAAAGGAGCCAGATGAAGACGCAGCATCTACAATCATCCACATTATTTGCCAGATGAATTGGTGGGCAGGAATCTTTATGAAGTCTTGGTAAATTGGTTGGACGGAGGGTAATATTGGTAGAGGTGCCACCGCGCATACACACTAAGCATGTCCTGTCGACCCTGCATATATCTTTCTAATTAGGTGGCGACACCAACAAGAATAATACTAGAAATAATAACTATCAACTTTGCAGATGCTATTGTCCTCGTTTATTTTATTAATCCTATAAGAGAACTAATTTGTAATATATCACTAACCTTAAGCGAGAGAGTTAACTACGACGAGATACTTTTTAGGTTTCTTTGAGTGGTACGAACTCACAAGATTCGTGCTCTCGCGCCAAATATTTGGGTCCTCTCGTAATTTTTTCAGGTGTTAGCAATTAAATCTGTACTTATTAAAATCATCTTTTCATAAACAAACCTATCTTTTAAGTTTCACGCCTAGAATGCATGATATTTTCTTTTCGCTATTGTTCTCTTACATCTATCGAATAGATAAGTGGACATTGTAGGATTATCGAACCATAAAAATGGATGATATCATTTAAGATCAGTTTATCACAGCCATATCGTGACAATAACTTTATCAAGTTTGGTCGTTCTGTTTTTCATGTTTATGTTTACATTGGGAGGTGATGCAAGGGTATGTACTGTAATAATGCACGTTATGCTTTTTTTTTCTAAATTTCCCTTGGGCTTTATTCATTGAACTTTCAGTCGCATGAACATTCTGGCTCATCTCGAGGAATCTTTGTTTATGTTTTGTTTACACCGCGTTCCACTTTCCTGCGTCCATTAACTTACCATCATTTCACTTTCTTGACTTTTATATGCTTTATCTCACAATATCTGGCATAATTTACCCGTTGCTGAGTGAGCGTATTTTTTTGGATTCTTTTTTTTTTTTTTTTTTTTTTTTTTTTTTTTTTTTTTTTTTTTTTTTTTTTTTTTTTTTTTTTTTTTTTTTT